ATGTCTGTAGGTGCAGTCTCTTGCTCAGGTATGATCTCCCTCTGAGCGTTCAGCTTCTGACATGCTGTATTACGCAGGTGACCATCTTGATCACGCAGGTCTCCATTCTCATTCGTATTGAGAATAATAGGCGCTACCATGTCTCGCTGGTTAGTATCGATTGATGTAAGATGAGGTATATCGATCGATGTCGGATGAAAGGTATCGGTCGACGAACGGTCGTTGATGTCAAGCGATATGGTGGTGAGAGTATCGGTCGACGTTGAAGGTGTCTCGGTCGACTGTGGTAGGCAAGTATCAGTCGACAGGGAGGTGTTGATGTCGATCAATGAGGAGCGTAGGTCTTTGCGGATGCTACATTCCACGCCGTGAGGATCTTCTGAGTACAAAAGGTTTTTGTCCTTCTTGCTTCTAGTACTGCTGGGCATGTACCTGAAAAAGACAATAAAAAAAAAATTTGGTGTCAAAAGATAATTTAAACAATAAAAGAAAAATAACCTAGACCTAATCAGATTAAATCTAATGTTATCAAAGTTCCCCGGAAACGGCGCCTAATTTGATATCACTCAAATGTTTAACCCTAAGTGAATTACTCTCTCAAATAAGAGGTTCAGTTGTAGTACTTAGCGATCGAATCCACAGGGAACTAAGGAATACAATAGATATGATCTAAATGATTATGCTAGGTTGAAAAGGTTTTAAATAGTAAAGTTGCAGTTTATAAGGAATGGTGAGTTGCTTAAGAGAATGGATTTAGGTTTGAAACAATAAAAGAAAATAGTTAGATTCAAGGTTGCTATTCAGATAATCAGGATTATAATGCTACATATGTTTAATGAATTGCTTTCAAGATATATGAGAACTTTGATTCTTAGATAGATCTAATAGCAGTCGCTAAAAAGACACATCCATTGATCTTAATGCCAGCAATATCGGATGATATGGGTTGCTGTCGATCGATGACTCTATATGAGTATCGATCGATATATCATAAAATCGAACCAAATCTGTGTTCACCAAGATCATAGAGCGGCTCTCGCACGTCCCTAGAGGATCTAAGCTTATGCCAAATGATTTTAGGACATTATAAACAAGTTTAATCACATCCATGATCATGCTCTAGGTAGCTACTCTAGAGTAAGCATTAGGGTTCACTTGGATAATGAATATCAACAACTCAACATTCCATAGTTGAGGCTAATCCCTCATAACTATTTGAACCCTAAATCTAACAAGGAGATCTACTCAGACATAGCTGAGAGATTCATAATAACTAGGTAATAATAGAAACTCATAGATAAAGGATTGAACTTTTGGTTCTTGGAACAACAAATCTCTTTGTGTGTTTCCTCTAGATCTAGAATTCTATAACCTTTTAGAAATTAAGATGAAAAGAAATACTTTATAGAATAGAACAAAGTAACAAAAAGCATGTAAAGCACAAAAGGTGTATAAAGCATGTCTAGCCAAGAACAATGGCAAAAACTATAAATAAGAGTTCCATTAGGTTAAAAACTCGTCAGGGGCATTTTTGTAATATTGGGAAGACTTGGGCTTCAAGTCGCCAAGTTGAACTTGTTCTCCACGCATCGTATCGATCGATGGTACGTGGTGTACATCGATCGATGGAGTATCTTGACTTCATCTTCGATAGAAGCGTCATCGATCGATTACACAGGGTGTGTATCGATCGATATGTGTCCTCATTGTCTAACTTCATAGTCATCTCAGAAAACTCTCCTTTAAGCTCCAAAAGGGCCCCTAAATCATCATTTTACTCCAAAGTGCTCCTGAACCTGAAAACATACCTAATAGACTCCAACACAGATATAAAACTCATAAAAACATATCAAAACCATGGCTAAAAGCGGGTCAAAATCATGGTCTATCAATATGCTCCATTGGGATCTCTGCTAGGAGACCATTGAACATTTTCCTCTGCACTAGAGCGATCAGAGCAAGCTTGATCTCAAAGTCCTACCTCAGACAGAGTGGGAGAAAAATGGCAGAGTGCGTAATAGGGAAGTTACGCAAAAGATTTCTCCGCCCAATCGGAACAGCTTGATGTTGTTGTTTCTGCTGCTGCTGTGCACTGAGTATAGAAGCCTGTTGCGCAGCTGCTTGTTGAGCTTGGATGGTTTGCTGCAAGCTGCTTGTTGAGCTTAGATGGTCTGCTGCAAGCTGCTTCTTGAGCTTGGATGGTCTGCTGCATTTATTGCATTTGTTGTTGCATCAGTTGCATTGCTGCAGTGAGATCATCCTGATGGGTGTGATCACCCATGGTGGTGTTGGTCAACCTTGGTTGTTGTCTGTTCTGTCTTTCTAACCGTGCTAGCTCCTGGTTGCTAACTATAACTAAATCTTCTTGTGCATTGCTCCGAGTTGTCTACTAGTTATGCACCTGGAACATAGCTGCAACAAAGAGAAAAGAGCAAGTTAAAAGTCTTAGACTAAATAAATAATCAAAAAATAAAGGTAAAAAACTGGTCCCCGTCGCAACTGCGCCAAAACTTGATACACTAAAATTGTGTCTTGTTCTACTGCAAGCTAACACTGTAGATGTAGCACTTTTGGATCGAATCCACAGAGACCAACGAGTACATTTTATATTTATGGGATCAATATCAAGCTAAGACAATGATGGGTTTTGATTTGAGGGTAACGTGCAAAGCAACAAAATAATGTAGATATGAATTCAATTTAAAGAGAAGCCAGCCTAGGTTTACGTCATCGAGCTGAACAATTATTTAAGTGCTAATAAGAACAGATCCAGAACTCGGATCACTCAAGAACAGTGTTCTAGCCCACTGTCGTGGTACTGTTCCTTATTTTGATCGATCTTAATACCTAACCTCTTGCTTGGATTAAGATGTGACGGCAAGCAATAGAGATCAAGTCTGATAAGTTCACCAAACACCCTAATATCTACTTTCCCTGATTAGGGATGCTAGGCTTATTCATAACATGTCTAGCAACCTATTACACAAATAATGAATAGATTAAACCTAAGTTCATACATTATATGGCCAGATTAATGCAAGCAGTAAGAATATATATGAATGAAGACACTATAATGATTCACTTATCTATGTTTAGCTCACGTGATTAACACCCTAGAACCCTCGACAAGCTAGCTGACTACTCAGCCATATCACAAGAGATCAAAGACATAGATACTGCATATATTGCATAAGGCTTCAAGATGATCTTCTCAGGTGAGATATATGAAGCCTTCTCTCTTTCAAGATAGAAAATTTTCAAGTACAAAAGTCTCCAGAATCTCTCTTTCAAATTCTCTATGAAAAACCACGTAGAATGTAAAAAATAATAAGAAAAGATATATGGTTTTTGGCGGCTGCAGGAGAAAAAGGGGGAAACCCTAGGTAAAATCCTGAAATATTCGAAGTTTATTTAAAAACCTCGGCCACAGAAGCAAACAATCATTTTTTTTGTTTTATATGGTATATAATTAAAATTAAAAGATATTTTCATAAATATATAATATATTTTAGTTTGAATATTTATTAATTGAGGCTTTGTATTGATATGATTTTATTAATATTTTTTATTTACTGTAACAAAAATATTATTTTTATTAATATGAAGATTTATTAATTGATGCATGCTACTTAATGAAAATTTTGAAATTAAACATGTTTACGTATTTTATATATGATATATATTTAAACATTACTGAAATAAGAAAAAAAATATATATATATACATATATATATATATATATATATATATTTATTTATTTATTTACTCTGATTATATATTAAATGAGACTTCATATATATATGATTTTATAATGATTTGTATTTTCATCTAAATTTTTTTATTATGTGATTAATGTGATTGTTTAATTTCTTATAAGAATATAAAAATAAATAAAAAAGGAGTATAGAAAAATTGTTATCAAATCTTTCTTATTCTAAATAATTAATTGTCATATATTTATTAATTATATCAGGTAATTCCGTAGTTTTTTATTTAAAGAAAGAATTGAAAAAATTCTTTTATACACTACTACTTAATTTGAGAATTATTTTAGTAAAAAATATAATATATGTTGAGATTGACCAACTTAGTTTTTTAAGAATTTTAAGAATCAACGTAACAAAGTGATAATACATGGCTACCAAAACACGATATATTGCTCTAAGATTAACGGATTATAATTAACATAAACTACTAATAACACTTCATTTCTCCGGTATGCAGGAAACCTTATTGGACTAGAACAGGATTGCTTTGCTTAACTGAGGCCTATTAGCTATGCATTAGTGGAAACCGCGAGAAGCGCTAAGTTCTTTTTTCGACCGAGAGTTCTATTCTCTTTATCAAATCGATCGAGAGTTCTTTTTTGGGCAAATCTTCAAAATAACATTTTCCTATGTTTACGTTACAAAAATAACAATCTAAAATTATCAAAATAGTATTTTATCTTTTGAAAATTTTAATTTTTTTTTTAATTTTCAAAAATTGAAATATTATCCTCAAAATCCCCTTCCCAATTCTAAACCCTAAAACCTAAATTCTAAACCCTAAACCCTAAACTTTAACACCTAAACCCTAAGCCCTAAATCTCACCATTTAATTCTAAATCCTAATGTCTAAATTAATTTATTATTGGGATATATATATATATATATTTATCTCTTTTAATAAAATATTAAATACTATTTTAGTCATTTTTATTCTTAAGTGTTATATTTAGGACAAAAACATTTTTAATGCTATTCTAATCATTTTCTCTTCTTTTTTCTTTTGAACAAGACTCATATTTCTACGATAAATCCTTTTTTCTTTTGAACAAGACTCATATTTCTACGGTAAATCCGAACCAACTCGAATGAGTGTACTCGAACATCCACGTCCCGAAAACTAAAAGTTTCAATATTCCTTGACCATCCTAGTAACCATAGTATATAATAAAATAAAGTGAAATATTTTCCAGATAAATATTAAACTTTGAAGATCGCTTACAAATTACAATTGAGAAATACAGCTGAAATCGCATCTAGTCGACAGAAGGATATTTATATTTATCGGATGATTTAACCATAAAAGTAAAATAAAATGTTTCTTGATAGTGAAAAATAATTTACAGTAAACAACAAACTGAACCCAACATAAAACAGTTAAAGTTAAATGCACAGCTACAGAGATTGTTAAATATCTACAGAGGAAACCCGCGTATTAGTCTGGAGACTTTTCTTTGGTTTCTTCATTTCCCCCATTTTAGTCTTCTCTGCAACATTGTCTTTATCTTCTTTTGCTGCTGCGGCCTCAATTATTCTTTTCATGTTCTCCTTGTAAATTTTTCTTATTGCGTACACCTCTGCCAACCCCGATCCACCGACACCATACATCTCCGCAAATAATAATCTACCGTAAATTTTAGAAATAAAAATGGTCTGAAACTCAATTGAATTTTTTTTTTTACTGGGGATAATAAGAATGCGAGTCTAAGGAGGTTCAGGGATGAATTTATTTATAGGGTTCAAAGGTTGTAGGGAAGGAACTTACATGGAACTTTCTTCGTCCGCCAATTTTGTTTTTTTTCTTTCTTTTTTGTTGGTTTCCCATTTGGAAATAATAATGTAGAAAATTTATCGAGAAAAAAATCGGAATTGTAAAAGACATTTTTGCTTCGGGACCTAGAGAGGGATGATAGATTATCTACCATACACGCAACCAAAATCATTGACAAACATTAGGCTCTAATGTCACATTTGTAGGAATCGAAATTCACACCGCCGATTACCGTAAAATAAGAAACTTATAAAAATTCTAATTTTTCAAAGGACCCGGATCTCTGCTAAAGCCAACGACAAGTAACCAAATAAATACGAAAAATATGAAAAACATGATAAAACGAATTTATAAAGAAAATAAATCTTTTTTGAATTCGCGTAAGAGCATTGCGATCATTACAAGAGATTACAAAGGCTTTGGCCGCAGGGGGCCTGGCTGTCAGCGAGTTACCTAGTTTAGCAACATAAAACCCTAAACCTAGTTGAGTCACAGCTCGATAACAAAAGACGAAAACGATAAGAAGAAAAGTTTTAATTGATTTTGTACTGAATCTTATGAAAGGCTGCCTACGTACCCCTTTCGAGGATCAAGCCGAACGTAGTTCAATTGATAGAGCTGGACAAGAGATCGAACTGTCTGGACGAGCTCGTCTAGTAATTGAGTGTCTGTCATAGAAATCGAACTTGTCGAGAATAAAGCTTCAATTTCTAAGTGCAGATAATTCTAAGTCTAGAAAAGTTGTAAAAGTTTGAGATAAGAGCTCTCAAAATCGTCCTGATGCTTATTGTTGGGGTCAAAATAGGTACGACGGAATCAATAGCCAAAATTCCCCGCAAATGCGTAAACGCAACAGTTTTATGAATCTCGAGGATCATTTTGTAAAACTCGAAGATCGTTTTATAAAACTCGAGAGATCGTTTTATAAAACTCGAAGATCGTTTTATAAAACTCGAGAGATCGTTTTATAAAACTCGAGAGATCGTTTTATAAAACTCGAGAGATCGTTTTATAAAACTCGAGAGATCGTTTTATAAAACTCGAAGATCGTTTTATAAAACTCGAGAGATCGTTTTATAAA